GAAAGTATCCATGGACTTCGGAAGATTCTATCTTTGGTATAAATAACATTGCTGAAGCGGCATCCTGGTGACTGCTCCATGTGATGCCGACACAGTCAACAGTTTCCGAGTTTGGCGCCGGAGACACCTTGTCTGAAATCACTGCCATTATATTTGTATTATTCTCTGATGGGATCAAACATTTGTCAATATAAAATATGTGATGTATATGATATACTAGTGGTGTTCCGATGATCGAAAATAATCGAAAATCAATCGAAAGAAGGATTAAAATTAATTATCGATTGTAAAAAACATATTTTCAATTAATCAGAATTTTGTTGTTTTAGTATAACACACTTGAATGAAGTAAGTAAAAATTAAATTTGGCAAATATTCATGAACAAACATGCACTCAACAGCATAAAGCTATGCACATTGTAAATCATTTTAACCACTTTCATTGTTTAATTACAATTCCAGTGTCTTTCTTGCATGCGTGTATTTCATTGCCTGACAGTATTAGTTATAAAAAACATTCATTAGAAAAAACCTGGGGAAAACCCTTAAAATTGGTGATAACATTGAAAATGTATATACTTCGATTATAATCGATAATCGTTCACCACAATCATCCGATAAATAGTGGATTTGGTTTCCGATTCCCAACACTATAATATCCCATATAATATGTGTAAACTGTTGCTGAGTATTCTCTCAAACTCAATGTGCAATATAAACCATGTCTTCACAGGACAGACGAATCCAAACAAGGTGTAACATTGTACAGCTACAGCACCTCTGTACAAACCTGATAACGTACGGTTTCCACCACACTTAGTGGTGATATCAGGGACCGGACCACTAAACACTGGTATATAAAGATGATAAAATCCCAAACATTTCTACTGCCATAAAAGGTTGTTTAAGTATAAACAATGGAGATTACAAAACAGTAAACACCAACATGATTTTGTCCACCACTTCAGACAAATTCAATGCCTAATCACCGGGAATAATTTCCTGACAACGAACCCTGAGTAAGAATAATGAAGGAGTTAGTGAGTATTTGTTTATGTGGGTTGGGGCAATATCCCAACAGCATGACCTGTTGTTCAGTCATTGTTTGGAAGTGGGGCATCTAACCTTAAAACCGAGTCGAGACATGATACATTGACTCTCCAACTTCCTACCCCCACTCGTCCGACCCCCACCCCTACCTTATCCCCTCCCATCCCTGCATCAGTATTGTGAGCTGGTAATCTCTGTGAAGCCCGCACAAACAACCATCTTATAAACACCGAGTTGTGAATCTGAACAATATATGTCTCTCCTCTTTAAGAATCAACAATATCACCAGAAAATAACATGTGGAGATACCTGACATGTGAAGATACTTGACATGTGAAGATATTTGACATGTGAAGATATTTGACATGTGAAGATATCTGACATGTGAAAATATTTGACATGTGAAGATACTTGACATGTGAACATATTTGACATGTGAAGATATTTGACATGTGAAAATATTTGACATGAGAAGATACCTGACATGTGACGATACTTGACATGAGCAGGTAGCTACAAGATTCCCATCACAAGCAGCAAGAGCTGATAACCTGATCCCAAGGTGTCATTGTGACTTGCATACATCAAGCGATGGCGACTGTTTCCGTCTCTGGGCGACGAGCAGGATGTTGGAGATAACCATGATGATGCCTGCCAACAGAGTCATCCCTCCGCCGAAGTAGAACGCTTCAGAGTAGTCGCCAAACACGTCCTTCATCATGCCTGCAGCAGCAGCACAGATATAAACAAGTGTTTGTCATTTGCTGTGTAGCATCACATGGGTTGACAAGTACGGGGTACTGGGGATCTATTATGTCCTAGAATCTCCATGGGTAGACAAGTACGGGGTACTGGGGATCTATTATGTCCTGGAATCTCTATGGGTAGACAAGTACGGGCTACTGATGATCTATTCTGTCCTGGAATCTCTATAGTAGACAAGTACGGGGTACTGGGGATCTATTATGTCCTAGAATCTCCATGGGTAGACAAGTACGGGGTACTGGGGATCTATTATGTCCTGGAATCTCTATGGGTAGACAAGTACGGGCTACTGATGATCTATTCTGTCCTGGAATCTCTATAGTAGACAAGTACAGGCTACTGGGGATCTATTCTGTCCTGGAATCTCTATAGTAGACAAGTACAGGGTACTGGGGATCTATTATGTCCTGGAATCTCTATGGGTAGACAAGTACGGGCTGCTGGGGATCTATTATGTCCTGGAATCTCTATAGTAGACAAGTACGGGATACTGGGGATCTATTATGTCCTGGAATCTGTATAGGTAGACAAGTACGGGATACTGGGGATCTATTATGTCCTGGAATCTCTATGGGTGGACAAAGTACGGGCTACTGGGGATCTATTCTGTCCTGGAATCTCTATGGGTAGACAAGTACGGGCTACTGGGGATCTATTCTGTCCTGGAATCTCTATAGTAGACAAGTACGGGGCTACTGGGGATCTATTCTGTCCTGGAATCTCTATAGTAGACAAGTACGGGCTACTGGGGATCTATTATGTCCTGGAATCTCTATAGTAGACAAGTACGGGCTACTGGGGATCTATTATGTCCTGGAATCTATATAGGTAGACAAGTACGGGGTACTGGGGATCTATTCTGTCCTGGAATCTCTATGGGTAGACAAGTACGGGGTACTGGGGATCTATTATGTCCTGGAATCTCTATGGGTAGACAAGTACGGGCTACTGGGGATCTATTCTGTCCTGGAATCTCTATAGTAGACAAGTACGGGCTACTGGGGATCTATTCTGTCCTGGAATCTCTATGGGTAGACAAGTACGGGCTACTGATGATCTATTCTGTCCTGGAATCTCTATAGTAGACAAGTACAGGCTACTGGGGATCTATTATGTCCTGGAATCTCTATAGGTAGACAAGTCACGGGGCTACTGGGGATCTATTCTGTCCTGGAATCTCTATAGTAGACAAGTGCAGGGCTACTGGGGATCTATTATGTCCTGGAATCTCTATGGGTAGACAAGTCACGGGCTACTGGGGATCTATTATGTCCTGGAATCTCTATAGTAGACAAGTACAGGTACTGGGGATCTATTCTGTCCTGGAATCTCTATAGTAGACAAGTCAGGGCTACTGGGGATCTATTATGTCCTGGAATCTATATGGGTAGACAAGTCTGCGGGTTACTGGGGATCTATTATGTCCTGGAATCTCTATATAGGGTAGACAAGTACAGGGCTACTGGGGATCTATTCTGTCCTGGAATCTCTATAGTAGACAAGTACAGGGCTACTGGGGATCTATTCTGTCCTGGAATCTCTATAGTAGACAAGTACAGGGCTACTGGGGATCTATTATGTCCTGGAATCTCTATGGGTAGACAAGTACGGGCTACTGATGATCTATTCTGTCCTGGAATCTCTATAGTAGACAAGTACGGGCTACTGGGGATCTATTATGTCCTGGAATCTCTATGGGTAGACAAGTCACAGAGGTACTGGGGATCTATTCTGTCCTGGAATCTCTATAGTAGACAAGTCACGGGCTACTGGGGATCTATTCTGTCCTGGAATCTCTATAGTAGACAAGTCACGGGCTACTGGGGATCTATTATGTCCTGGAATCTCTATAGGTAGACAAGTACGGGCTACTGGGGATCTATTCTGTCCTGGAATCTCTATAGTAGACAAGTACGGGCTACTGGGGATCTATTATGTCCTGGAATCTCTATGGGTAGACAAGTACGGGCTACTTGGGATCTATTATGTCCTGGAATCTCTATAGTAGACAAGTACAGGGTACTGGGGATCTATTATGTCCTGGAATCTATATAGTAGACAAGTACGGGCTACTTGGGATCTATTATGTCCTGGAATCTCTATAGTAGACAAGTCTGGGGCTAATCTATTCTGTCCTGGAATCTCTATGGGTAGACAAGGGGATGGGTATCTATTATGTCCTGGAATCTAAATAGGTAGACAAGTACGGGCTACTGGGGATCTATTATGTCCTGGAATCTCTATAGTAGACAAGTACAGGCTACTGGGGATCTATTCTGTCCTGGAATCTCTATAGTAGACAAGTACAGGGGCTACTGGGGATCTATTATGTCCTGGAATCTCTATAGTAGACAAGTACAGGCTACCTGGGGATCTATTCTGTCCTGGAATCTCTATAGTAGACAAGTACAGGGTACTGGGGATCTATTATGTCCTGGAATCTCTATGGGTAGACAAGTACGGGCTGCTGGGGATCTATTATGTCCTGGAATCTCTATAGTAGACAAGTACGGGATACTGGGGATCTATTCTGTCCTGGAATCTCTATGGGTGGACAAGTACGGGATACTGGGGATCTATTATGTCCTGGAATCTCTATAGTAGACAAGTACGGGATACTGGGGATCTATTCTGTCCTGGAATCTCTATAGTAGACAAGTACGGGCTACTGGGGATCTATTCTGTCCTGGAATCTCTATGGGTAGACAAGTATGGGCTACTGATGATCTATTCTGTCCTGGAATCTTCATGGGTAGACAAGTACGGGCTACTGGGGATCTATTCTGTCCTGGAATCTCTATAGTATTCATATTCTGTCCTGGAACGCCCCTAAGTGTTCTAACAACTAAATCATGTCGACAAAATATGTGTTACTTACCCGATAAAGGAGGACCAATAAGTGCTCCGATTCCTTGAAAACACAGCAATATCCCAAAGGAACTGGACAGTTTATCGATCCCAAGAATGTCCACCACAACCACGCCTTTCTGCGACACGTAGGCACCGGTCATAGCGCCATACACTCCACTTATTATACAAAACTGCCAGAACGTGTAAAGGGCTGGGCACACAAACGATGCAACAGCTATCACAAACAGCACCCCACTGTATGCATATGGTCTGATTCGTCTCACTCGCTTCAACTCCAGAAAAACTCCACCCAATATTCGTCCAATGGTGTCGAGGACCCCGGCAATGGACAAGAGCAGGGCAGCTTGTGTGTCAGTACATCCTCGGGACTTGGCCAAGGCAGGTAGAAATGTAAATATTGATTTAAAAGACATTGTAAACAAAACTATACTGAGACAGAAAAATAGAAAAGGGAGATTTCTTAGAAGAGACAGATCAAGCACATTTGACTTTTTTTGGGTCTTTTTGAGGTTCTTGAATTTTCTTTTGAAAACATTTTTGAACTCTGTGCCAGCAAGTTGTTTGGTCATTTTTTCTAGTAGGCTTCAATCTGCTTTCACCACTAGGTAATATTTTTTCATAATTTTTTTCACATTCAGGGATTTGTGATTTATCTTGTGTTGCCATGGTAACATCTCCACGTTCAGCAAGAAGCACTGCAGCTTCACCTCTCTTATCTTCATCACATCCTCGTCCTTCTTCATCACACCCTATGTGATCTTTATCATCTCCTCCTGACATCAGTCTAGTGTTCCTGTAACCAAGGCAACAGTTAGTCCTGGCAGACATCCTCATCCAGTGGAAGAGGAGCATGGCTAAACATGTGGCTGAAGCTCCACTTTCCACCTTGAAGGATTTAAACCTTTTCATCACTGAAATGTCAAACACTAGGCGAGTCAGTGAGCAGCAGTAGACAGTCACTGGTTCTGTTGATATTTATTGTCATGGTCAACATTTTATCAAACACAGCTGACTAACATATGATGGGCGTTGCTGTAGTGGACAATAGCCATACGTCTAATATAGAACAAACTTTATGGATAACAACTTCTTTTATTCGTGAGTGCGACATTTCGATACAGATTCTTGTACCGTTGTCAAGCATAATGGAACATGAAGAAGTGGGAAGTATATATATACTGGATGTAACAATGTAACAAAGAAAACAACATAATTAACATAATTGGCTAGGCAGAAAGCTGATGAAGCCAGAGAGTAGACAAAGGACAGGCGTGGAAGCCAATGATGTACAAATAATAATGAGATGTTTATACAGCAGAGTTTATACAGTAGATTGGGTTTGGTGGATGAGTGCATCATAAGCGGATGGAATGAAGTATATATGGGAACTATCTAGCTTGACAACGGTACAAGAATCTGTATCGAAACGTCGCACTCACGAATAAAAAGAAGTTGTCATCCATAAAGTTCGTTCCATATTGTACGTCCCAACTTCTAAAATGCCAATCAGAGAAGTTAGCCACTAGGTTGACACTACTGGTGTAGGCTGACACTACTGGTGTAGGCTGACACTACTGGTGTAGGCTGACACTACTGGTGTAGGTTGACACTACTGGTGTAGGCTGACACTACTGGTGTACGTTGACACTACTGGTGTAGGCTGACACTACTGGTGTACTACTGGTGTAGGTTGACACTACTGGTGTAGGCTGACACTACTGGTGTAGGCTGACACTACTGGTGTAGGCTGACACTACTGGTATAGGTTGACACTACTGGTGTAGGCTGACACTACTGGTATAGGCTGACACTACTGGTGTAGGCTGACACTACTGGTGTAGGCTGACACTACTGGTGTAGGTTGACACTGCTGGTGTAGGCTGACACTGCTGGTGTAGGCTGATAGAGTGTATAACCTAACTACGTCCTCTACATATCGCTCCTCTTTCAGAAGCTAATTTCTAGCACAACACAGAACCTTATCTTTTGTAGTCAAGTGAGAACCTATGTATAATATGCACCCCTATCTCGGGGGGTGAGTGAGTGAGTTTAGTTCTACACCGCATTTTAGCAATATTCCAGCAATATCACGGTGGGGACACCAGAAATGGGCTTCACACATTGTACCCATGTGGGGAATCAAACCCGGGTCTTCGGCGTGACGAGCAAACGCTTTAACCACTAGGCTACAACACCGCACAGATAATCAATGAAAACTTTTAACAAGATGACAAAGTCATCAATATCCCCCGCAATGGCAAAATACTCTTCATGATTATGTCTACGAGTTATGATTATGTCAAATATTTAGGTGTGTATATAGAAAAGTGGAAGGAGAGCATTGAAAGGTTTTTAAAGTTCTGCTCCAGAAAGGAGCACTATCACCAATTTCAGTCTAAGTCAAACTTGTTGCCATGGAAACGCCAAAAATATTTTATTCAGAATTCCCAAACTACCAAAAGGCACCAGTACACCACCAGACCAATCTATGTCCCAAGTTTGGTGAAGAAAGAGTGAACGGTTTTAGAGTTCTGCTCTGGAAAAGAGCACTACCACCAATTTCAGTCTAAGTCGAACTTGTTGCCATGGAAACGCCAAAAATATTTATTCAGAATTCCAAAACTGCCATAAGGGACCAGTACACCAACAGACCAATCTATGTGCCAAGTTTGGTGAAGAAATATTGAACGCTTTTAGAGTTCTGCTCCGGAAAAGACAAATGTCCACGGACGGATGGACGGACCCACGGACGGACGCACGGACAGAGTCCATTTTAATACCCCCCGCTAAACGCGTTGCGGGGGATGATAACCAGGGAGTGAAGTTACCTGATTAAAGTAATAAATTAATTTCAAATGAATCAAATACTACACCAACCTTTCCAATCCTAATATTTTCTTATGCAGTACCAGTGGACGATATAGAGCCCCACAAACACAGAAGTTGAAAGCTATTCCACTGAGGATGAGAAAAGCACCAAAGAAGTGGAACTGTTCGAAGAGGAAGTCAGTCAATGGTGGGAGGAAGAATGTTCCGATTCCTGCCCCTGATGTTGCTATGCCAATGGCCATTCCTGGTTTCCTGGGAAAATACTCGCCAACCGTCACAATGCCAGGACCATAGGTGAGACTTCTTCCGATTCCTGGCAGCAGAGTCAGGAGAGAATTGGTAAACATCCTGTGTTTTCAGATTTCAAGGCATATAAAAGTGCTTGGAATATTTAATTTAATATATTTTTAATGAATACTGAAAAGCAGTACCCAAAAGCTCTATAGCTCTCCTGTACATTTCTTGACTGTTTCCATTGGTTTCAAAGGAAGGCTTAACTAGAATTTGAACCATTAAAAAAACATATATAACAGATATTTAGCATACAAAAAAAAGGCATTACTTATTCATGAAGGAAGGTCATAGTTAGATCAGGAATCAAAATACGTCAATATTCATCACATGTTACTTTGCACATTGCAAATCAAATCTCATGAAATAAAATGGCCCAAAATGAGATTCTCAACATGGATGGGATGGTGGCTATGTAAATCATTGGGTCAGACACAAACCCAGATGGCGAAGTTCAGTCAAAAGGACATAGTGGCTTCAAAAATACAAAAAATATAGAAAATGAGGATATAATGCCAACAAATTTGAATGAACTCATGGACTCACATTTGACTCTGTAAGCACCTACATATTTGTTGCTCATATTTCGCTACACGTGCACTAAACCCTCGATCCATTCCCACAGCCCTCGATATCTCAAATTATTTGCCCTTGATTTTCATTGACAATGGACCAACCAAACAAATGTCAAGATGAGGCAAAAGGGTAAGGAAGGTGGACGTGAAGATATCTGTCTTTCTGTTGCATGTCACTTTATTATTGTCAGGCATGTTGTCAATGTTGACCTCCTTGCAAACTCTGTCATAATTACCGGTTCTGGCTGCTACTGTGGCTTGGGAGTAACGTACAGTTTGATTGGTCTGTCTAAAAAAGTTGGTTCATGGAATTCAAGAGCAAATAATCTGAGATTGCGAGAATGTCAGGAATCCATGGTTAGTGGAGGTTTACCAAACTGTCCGCAGTGGAGACACAGAGGGTGCTGTCGACCTGATAGTTTCACAGATGTTGAAGAAAGCATAAGATAAGCTACAAAATAAAACAGGTGAGCTACCAATATCGACAATATGTTACTAAGTTTACCAGATACTTATCACAAAATTGTAAATGCCAGAAGGATAGTCATTATTATTTGGTTTCAGGTGAGCTAAATATCACATCATCAGATGCGAGAAGTTTGGACCTATACACACCTCCAATGACGCCGTAGCTGAAGTAGAGGAAGATGAGGTTTGGAGCGAAGCCACTGATGAGGACACCGACAGTCATGATGATGCCGCCCGTTAAGGTAGCCACTCGACTTGAGAACCGGTTACTGAAGGCACTGGACACGGGGCCTGGAAAAGTGGATATGTTACTGAAGGGACTGGACACGAGACCTGGAAAAGTGGATATGTTACTGAAGGCACTGGACACGATGCCTGGAAAAGTGGATATGTCACTGAATATGTTACTGAGGGCACTGGACACGGGGCCTGGAAAAGTGGATATGTTACTGAAGGGACTGGACACGAGACCTGGAAAAGTGGATATGTTACTGAAGGCACTGGACACGATACCTGGAAAAGTGGATATGTTACTGAATATGTTACTGAAGGCACTGGACACGATGCTTGGAAAGTGAATATGTCACTGGATATGTTACTGAAGGCACTGGACATGGGGCCTGGAAAAGTGGATATGTCACTGGATATGTTACTGAAGGCACTGGACATCAAGAAACCTCATGATAACATGCTGTAGTAAGGTGCAGACAGTAAGCTCAATGCTTGATGTTCTCAACTTACCGAGGACTAGCCTTAGGGTGGTAGCCAAGGACCCAACCCAGGCTGTTGCTTGGGCACTCTGGTTGAATCTGTCAATCAGCTTCAGATACAAGACACCATCAGTTCTCTCGAATCCCCCTACGAAACATGTAACAACACCACATTGTGACTTCCATCAAGTATTTTGAAAGACAAACTTAACCTCATAAACTTGAACCTCACAAACTGGAACCTCAGAAACAAGATACCTCTAACAATGTTTCCGTTATCTGGTACATATACCAGACTTTGACCGGTACAAAGTTAGAATGTCCAGTAAATTCAAAGGCTGTTGGTCATCGTGTCAAGCAAATTTTAAATTTTTAATTATCTCTGTCAATTTTATTTCTCCTCGAAAAAGATTACATTTTCACAATGAAATTGAGGTGTTGTCAAATAAAAAGAGCAGTTTTGGAAAAGCCCAGGATTAAAATAGCGGCACTGTCGCACTGTGATACCCTCTACATTTCTGATTGGTGGTTAGGGTGCAAAGTCTCGCACACAATGCAAAGCGTGATCACTTGACTAGTAAAATTTACCAATGACTGGTATTTGCAATGCTAGCTGGTCACAATGTCCAGCTGCAAAAAATGCCAGCGGAAACACTGCTCTAAACCAGAGCCTCACAAAACCACAGCTTTACAAAGGAAGGAAGCCAAGCAAGAATGATAGGATGTGGACAGCCTGGTTAACCATCAGGTGGTTCCTACCGTGAGCAGTGTCACCATCTGGTACAGTTTATACTTTTAAATGTGAAATGAATACTGGTATTTATGTGAAGGGTAAGGTCAGATAAATCACTACAACAAGCTGTTTCCATTCACTGAATAAATTCAATGACTGAATAGTTTCAATGACTGCATAGTTTCAATGGCTGCGTAGTTTCAATGACTGAATAGTTTCAATGACTACATAGTTTCAATGACTGAATAGTTTCAATGACTGCATAGTTTCAATGGCTACGTAGTTTCAATGACTGAATAGTTTCAATGACTGAATAGTTTCAATGACTGCAGAGTTTCAATGACTACGTAGTTTCAATGGCTTCAATGATTTCAGCAATGGCTGATTTCAACACATGTTTCCAGTTTTACTAACATGAAATGCTGCATAAAATTTGTAATATATTTCACAAAACATCTTAAATATACTAGTGGCTCAGAATATTGTGATGATTCTGTGAAATTCATGAATACATGCTGACATCTCAGTGAGTGAGTGTGTGAGTATGGTTTTACGCCGCTTTTAGCAATATTCCAGCAATATCACAGCAGGGGACACCAGAAATGGGCTTCACACTTTGTGCCCATGTGGGGAATCAAACCCGGCCTTTGGCGTCGTGACGAGCAAACGCTTTAACCACCAGGCTACCCCACCGCCCCTTATGTGACGTCTGACATTTTACTGAGCAAATCTCCGCCAGGCCATACCTGTTATGACATGTTGAAAGAAGCACGAAAACACAACCACCCATTTGTAGCAGCCATAGTCAGCAGTCTTAGCTCCCTGGATTTCTTCTGAATCAAACTGAATCTGTTTTGTCTCTGCCACATTGTTGCTACTTTCAACATCAGGGCTCTTCTGGTGACAGAGTTGTCTCCCTTCATCACCATCTTCAGCCATTTGTGTCACATGATATCCTGCATGTAAGAGTTGTCTCCCTTCCTGATCATCTTGCTGCTGAGCCCCGTCACCTTCATCACCTGACAGCTGTGTCTCATGGCTACTGTCAGCACGTACTGACCCCCCTCTGTCTGCCATGCTCCCAACAGACTCTGTATCCTGACTCTCTCCATCTGACACAGGCGCTCTTTTCATTGTCAAATGTCCTGCAGGTAGAACACAGAAGATTTAACAAACGTTGTGTCTAGAAAAATCCCAGCACCTGGATAGGCCAGAGTTGTCTCTCTAGCTTGACATCAATCTAATCCTGATATTTTGTCATTTATGATAATCATCAGCGTTATATATTCAGGAGTTCCAGACATATGATTCTATATGAAATAGCTAATGCATACAGAGCCAAAAGATCAACGTGGTGCAACATCTGCTATCAAGAACATATTTTATACTGGTAGATCTTATGCATGGTGTTGGTACAGTTATTCAGATTAGTCAGTGTTTTCATTGCCTATAAATCATATCTAATATTGCAAGTTATTCTTTTCACCTTTAACCCTCTACGTGGTGTAGTGGTTAGAGCGTCTGCCCGGAGAGCGGAAGGTCGCGGGTTCGATCCCCGACCGCGTCATACCAAAAGACGTTAAAATATGGTACCTGGTCCCTGCCTTGCGCTCGGCATTAATGGGTACAACAAGGACTGGTCGGCTCGGAGTCAGTATAATGTGTCTGAGTGGGGTATTCATGCTTCACTGCGGCATCGTATCTCAGTGGGCTAGCACTATAAAACCAGCTTCAGTCTGGGCTAGTACAAGCAGGCGCACATACACATACACACGCATGCACGTCGTCATATGATTGAAATATTCTCAAGCATGACGTTAAACCCAATTTCACCTCACCTCACCTTTTCTGATAGCATGAATAAACTATTAGACTGTTATTTTATCATGTTCACACAAGCTAACAGTTCATGCACCATGTCAGTCATAGTCGGTTGTCAATTGTCATTCTACAGAGATTTAGTCATAGCCTTTGAAAACATATTTTGAAATAAATCAAATGTAAACAACAAAAAGCCTTGTAAAAGTTTCTTGCCACACTATTGTAGCTCACCTGGACATGTGGTCAACAGAAACGATAACGAGGAAAACCTCTTAAAATGTACTCTTGTTGTCTGTCAACACAGCCACTACAACAGGAAGGTGTATTCTGTTTTGCCTGTCACTCAGCCACTTAGTGTTGGGAATTGGTTGAAATCACAATTGGATTGCTATAGTCTTTTCCTATCCGGATTACTCGCAACATGAAAAAGTATAAGTCTACTTGCTAGTGATGACTAATTATAGTCTCACTCATGACCACCACGGACACTCACTGACCACACTGAACACAGTCAACTCAGTCAATTGAAAGTAATCAAATATGACATGAGGCATGGGGGTTATAAAAGAGCAATTTAGTTTACAAGTCATTCTACTATGACAAAGACACGTGATCAATTTGTTCCCAATTCCTGGGGTGGCCAGAGTTTAGTATTTAATGGTTTTGAGTTTAGAGTGAAATTAAGAAAGATCCAAACTGCCCCGTATAAGAAAGGTTGTGTATTTGTTGATGTTACTTGCAATATCAGTAAAACAAGAAATATCACCATATTTGTCAAATGATTCATATTTGTGTATTTATCGTATTTGCAGGTGTTATATGCAATAAACAAAATGTGATCAACTTTACCGTTTCTCCTTATTTGCTGGTATACTTGCACTTCAAGGGGTGGAAATAACCCATTGCCCGACGCCCTGAGTCCAGTGTTTTTTCTGTTGGGCAAGCAAATTTGTATATCACACTGTACCGGTGTCCAGTTGACTTTCCAATATTAATTATGTTGTTTATTTAAAAAATCAACAAGAAAACGTACGGTATAGTGGAAAATTATCAGGGCAAGTGATTTTACATGTGCAACTGTACCGGAGTACACAAGCAATTTTAAAGTTATTCCCCCCCCTGACTTCTAATACAGACTATAGCCTTAATCCCCATAAGGATTAGCATGGTCCACTGATTTTGATACCTAAACAATGCCTGCAGGCAAAAAGAGAACACCCCAACAGGAATGATGCAGAATAGGATGTAATCACAAGGAGAAACATTAATCCTGAGTTGATCATCCTCTGGGACCTCAGTAGCCGCAGCAACTTCAGATGAAAACATGCTTACAAAGCAAACAAGTCAACTTTGGGAGAACTAAAGAGAATTACAGTACATTTTGAGATGTTCTGATTGACAGTTCAAATGTACCTTGGTTCACCTAGCAGGAAATGAATGCCAGATATGTGAGGTGGACAAAGAAAGGTCTAGCGCTCCTAGGGTTGTATACTCCCTTGGAAGTTGAGAATGATCATTTGAAAGTATGTGGAGCCAGTGGTTGGAGAATGTATTTTGTTTGCTTGCTTTGTAACGTCGCACTCTGTAACTAATCAAATCTGGACCAGACAATCTAGTGATCAACATCAGGAGCATTGATCTACACAACTGGGATACGATGACATATGTTAACCAAGTCAGCCAGCCTGACCACCCGATCCTATTATTTGCCTCTTACAACAAGCATGGGTTGCTGAAGATCAATTCTAACCCCGATCTTCATGGGCTGCTGAAGACCAATTCCCGATCTTCATCGATGGGAGAAGATCTGAACAACAACAACAACATGAACAACAATGGCTGACCTGTGCCCAGGAAGGATTCGGGCACAATGTGTTAAGCCCATTTCTGGTGTCCCCATGCATTGATATTGCTGGAATATTGCTAAAAAAGCGCGTGAAACTAAACTCAGGCAGTCAGTCAGTCAGGAAGGATTCTCTACATGCTGCTGCTGACTCGCCATATTGAAAATCAGCTTGCTGATGCTGGACATATGCTCACTCAACTTTCAGTCAGAGGAGGTAAGAATATGGCCGGCTGACAGGCTAGCTTCCACAGTTTCAGTCAGGCTAGCTTCCACAGTTTCAGACAGGATAGCTTCCACAGTGTCCGCCAGGCTAGCTTCCACAGTTTCAGACAGGCTAGCTTCCACAGTTTCAGTCAGGCTAGCTTCCACAGTTTCCAGTCAGGCTAGCTTCCACAGTTTCAGACAGGATAGCTTCTACAGTTTCAGTCAGGCTAGCTTCCACAGTTTCAGTCAGGCTAGCTTCCACAGTGTCAGTCAGGCTAGCTTCCACAGTTTCAGTCAGGCTAGCTTCTACAGTTTCAGTCAGGCTAGCTTCCACAGTTTTAGTCAGGCTAGCTTCCACAGTGTCAGTCAGGAAGGCTTCCACAGTTTCAGTCAGGCTAGCTTCCACAGTTTCCAGTCAGGCTAGCTTCTACAGTTTCAGTCAGGCTAGCTTCCACGGTTTTTAGTCAGGAAGGCTTCCACAGTTTCAGTCAGGCTAGCTTCCACAGGTTCAGACAGGCTAGCTTCCACAGTTTCAGTCAGGCTAGCTTCCACAGTTTCCGTCAGGCTAGCTTCCACAGTTTCAGAGACAGGATAGCTTCTACAGTTTCAGTCAGGCTAGCTTCCACAGTTTCAGTCAGGCTAGCTTCCTACAGTGTCAGTCAGGCTAGCTTCCACAGTCTCAGTCAGGCTAGCTTCCACAGTTTCAGTCAGGCTAGCTTCCACAGTTTCAGTCAGGCTAGCTTCCACAGTTTCAGTCAGGCTAGCTTCTACAGTTTCAGTCAGGCTAGCTTCCACAGTTTCAGTCAGGCTAGCTTCTACAGTTTCAGTCAGGCTAGCTTCCACAGTTTCAGTCAGGCTAGCTTCTACAGTTTCAGTCAGGCTAGCTTCCACGGTTTTAGTCAGGAAGGCTTCCACAGTTTCAGTCAGGCTAGCTTCCACAGTTTTAATCAGGCTAGCTTCTACAGTTTCAGTCAGGCTAGCTTCCACAGTTTCAGTCAGGCTAGCTTCTACAGTTTCAGTCAGGCTAGCTTCCACAGTTTTAATCAGGCTAGCTTCCACAGTGTCAGTCAGGAAGGCTTCCACAGTTTCAGTCAGGCTGGCTTCCACAGTTTCAGTCAAACAGGATATTAAGAAAGTAAGATACTTTATGGATAACAACTTCTTTATTATATATGAGGCGACATTTCAGTATAGCTTCTTATAACGCTGTCACAATGGTATAAGAATCTATACAGAAATGTCGGATCATAATCATGTCTGGACCCAACAATCCAGTGAACCACAAGCATGAGCATCGATTGGGAACCGATGACATGTGTCAACCAAGTCAACGAGCCTGACCACCCGATCCCATTAGTCGCCTCAGGATATTAAGTCTAATAAGCATCCGTTCATTTGCTTCCCCAAGTCAAAAACTGCATAAGCTTGCCACAAGTAAAAAGTTTGAGTTTGTACACTGAGCAATGGAATGTAATGCTATAAAAGCTGTTGTGTATGTATATATATGAGTCATTTTCACGAAGAGTGTACTTTTCTGTCCATCATAAACAAACTGTATATGTTGTTAATTTTCTATTTTAAGTTTTAATAATAAAAAACACCATTGAAAGTGCATATTAAAATTGCAATATAACGATTTTGTTTGATATTTTAATTTTTGGGCGATGTTTTATGGTGCCATTTTGCTGAAAATTGCTTGTCTCAGGGTGAGTTTTCAATTTTTCTCATCATTTCTTAGATATGAATTAACAGTACATAAATGTTTAATAATGCAGGTTTTCTTGAATGACTAAACAACCATAAAGTGAAAAATACACTGAAATAACAAACTTTGAAATATATTTTTAAGATTTTCCCCCACTTATGCTTGTGCCACGGAAAAATGTCCTTACTGTTTAAAATTGATACATCCCTTGGTAAAGCCAATTCTTTTCTTCAACCTTCCACTTCATGTCTTCAGAATGGCATGCAGCATGTTTTGGGTCCTCTGAACACTTAGTCATATTTTGATCTCAAGTAAGTGAAAAGTTGATCGTACTAAATCTGTATGTCCATACTGACATGTTTTAGGTATATAAATTAAGTTTATGAAAAAAATCAATTTGCATATAAATTGACTTGTTTATTAGTCCCTATTAACATGTGCTTTTAGGGATTTGAAGGGAGCATTCATTAAATATTGAATAATTTCTAAAGAATTGTCCTCACTGTTACTGTCCTTACTGTTACAATATAAACCAGTAACATTTAGGACAACTTCAGGAACAGTATGGA